CCGGCCAGGATGTGGCGTTTCAGGCTAAGCGGGAGGAAGAGAGGAGGGTGACAATACGGCGGAGGCATTGAATAAGGAAGCCTTGGATAAGGAATCCGGGGTCTGGAAGCCAGTGGAGCTCCAATTGTGTATCGGCCAGGGGTATCGCCACCGCCCTCATCAGCTAAGGAATCCTCCAGGGTCTGAAGCCTGCTGGGCACGTTCCCTGACCAATGCCCCCACCGTGAGGAGGATAGTGGGAGGGGGAGGGCGAGGAAGAGAAGGAGAATGACGTGGATGCAGAGGAGGAGGACGACGGCGGCGACGGCGAAGAGCTTGACGACGACGCCGAAGGCGCAGGCGGAGCAGGCGCAGGAGGACGCGCGAACACTCTGAGGAGCAGCCTTGGCAACAACGAAATATCAGGGTTAGGGGGCTGAACGGTCATTCGCTGTCCCTGGGTGCGTGGCTGAAGTGGGATTCCACGATGCGGATTATAATTGTTGATGTTTGTTTATTTGTTTGTTTGTTTGTTTGGTGGTTGTTGTTGGTGGTGGTGTTGCTATTGTTGCTGTTGCTGTTGTTGTTGCTGTTGTTGCTGTTGTTGTTGCTGTTGCTGTTGCCGTTGCTGTTGTTGCTGTTGTTGTTGCTGTTGTTGTTGGATGTTACTACTAAGCATTGATTCTTGGCGCCTTAGCGCTCTCGCTGAGGCGCCGGCTGCATTTTCATTGAAAATGAGGCTCACGCTCGAGCGGTTTAGGGGACCGCCAAAACCAGCCCCCCAACAACAACAACGTACCCGTTCGAGACTTCTTCCTTTTTTACTCAGGGCCGGTGCTCTTGCTCGCCGCCGAAAGCAGCCGTCTCAACAAAACCAGCGCTCCCGCCCGAGACTTCCTCCCGTTTTACCTTGGACAGGCGCGCTACTCTTTCTCTCATCGGCGCCGCCCCCCAGCAACAACAACGCTTCCGCTCGAGATTTCCTCAATTTTTTACTCAAGGCGGTGCTCTTGCTCGCCGCCGACAGCCGCCGTCCCGACAAAACCAGCGCTTCCGCCCGAGACTTCCTTCCGTTTTACGCTGGGTGCTCTCTTTTGAATTGGCGCCGCTCCCAGCAAGAACAATCATCCCGCTCGAGGCTTTCCCCCCTTTTCCTCAGGACGGTGCTCTTGCTCGCCGCCGACAGCCCCCGTCCCGACAAAACCACGGCTCCCGCTCAAGACTTCCTCCCTTCTTACTCAAGGCGGTGTTCCTCCTCGCCGCCGACAACCGCCGTCCCAACAAAACCAGCGTTCCTGCTCGAGACTTGATTTTGTTTTACGCTGGGCTAGCGCCCTATTCTCATCAGCATTGGCGCCGCTCCGAGCAACAACAGCGGCTCTGCTCGAGACCTCCTCCCGTTCTATTCAGGGCCAGGTCCTCGCCTCGCCGCCGACAGCCCCCATCCCCACCAAGGCAATCCTGTCGCTCGATACTTCCTTGTGCTTTACCCTTGGCTGGGACTCCACTGGCGGTCTCGCATCGGCGCAGCAAGGCGCGGGCATGCGTTTTCGAGGCGGGATATGTTGAAATTCCTCGGAGGAGGTTTTCGCAAAACCTCATTGGGCGGGAGATCTGAAAATGGGAATAACGGACTCCTCTATAGAACAACAATTTCCCATGCTGGGGATGCTATCATGATGGTCGCTTGCTTCGTGTGGAAACATCGCGCATGAAGGTAAAATGATTGTTGTTGGTGTTGTTGTTGTTGTTGTTGGTTGTTGTTGGTGTTGTTGTTGTAGTTGTAGTTGTTGTTGTTGTTGTTGCTGCTGTTGCTGTTGCTGTTGCTGTTGCTGTTGTTGTTGTTGTTGTTGTTGTTGTTGTTGTTGTTGTTGTTGTTGTTGTTGTTGTTTTTGTTGGCGACCCAACCCGCGACCTGCCCGCGACCCACCCGCGACCCACCCCACGACCCACCCGCGACCCACCCGCGACCCACCCCACGACCCACCCGCGACCCACCCGCGACCCACCCCGCGACACACCCACATTGCTTTGAAGAGAAATCGGCGCCTGCGGCGGGCTCATTGTATACTTTGTGAGAATCAGGCGCCCGCGGCGGGCTTCTTCAGAGCCTCGCAGACTGCAGACGTCCCCGCCACCCCCTCACTCTTATCCGCGACTGCGGGGTGCTACGTATCTGGGGATACTGGACTCTGGGTATGATTTGACGGCCCCGTGGCCTGGCGAGGGCCCCCAGACGTCGAAAACAACGGAAAACCGTCCGTCTGGACTCGTTCTGTACAGTCAACCCGTATCATAAGGATGCGCGGTAAGGATGCAAGGGCCTTGGAGGGCCATGTCGCCGTTTTCGAACGAGGCCGGCCACCGAAAGCCGCGGAGGACGAGCCGCAGGGGCAAGGATGCAAGGGTACCCCTGGGAAGGCTGTCCGTCCTTACCGTGCGGGCTGGCTGTACGCTCACGGTCTGGGTGGCAGAAAGAGCCTGTTTTTTTGATTCAAGCAAGTTTACTTGCATGGCGTTCGCCCGCCCCCCCCCCCTCGCCCCTCTTCAAGCGAATACTAGCGTGCAAGTGCCTTTCGACTTGCGTGATTTCCGCGCCCCCCCGAACGTGCAAGTCGTTTGCGGCTTGCTTCAGGCTCAGCCCCCCCCCCCGTCCATGCAAGTAAACTTGCCAGAGTCTAAAAAAAAGCAGGCTCGAAAAAACACAACTGCATGGACGTGACTGCTCTCGAGGAGGTCCGCGCGGACGCCTCGGGTCGGCACGGGCCCCACACATCCCGGGCGCGCGAGGCGCGCTGACAGCGGCGGGCGGGGCGCCGTGGACGGGGCGCCCCCGGGTGGCGCCCCGCGCCGACCCGAGAACTCCGCACGGCCCGCCGATCGCGGTACTGATGCCGTGGCTGGTGCTCGCTCGGGTCCTCGCGAGAAGGGTTCGAGGGGAACGGACTTCGTCAGAGCTGGGAGGTCTTCGGCAGAGCGACGAAGGGCCACCAAACCATTTCCATGGGCGACCGAGCCGGATCAGGCCCGCTCAGGCACGGGGCCGAGCGGGATCAGGCAGGATCCAGCGCACGATGAAGGATTCGACCAGACTGGTCGGACTGCAGCAAGATTCGGCAAATTCTCGACCCGGGAGTCATACCAGCGCAATTTTCTGAATGCACCCTCCCAGGACTTGAGTCCAGGAAGGAGGAGGAGGAGGAGGAGGAGGAGGAGGAGGAAGGAGGAGGAGGAGGAAGGAGGAGGGCGAAGAAGACACGGAAGAAGGCGTGGCGGCCAGGTGCTATAGCGCAGGCCACGGCACCGGCGGGCCCGTCCCGAACGCAGTCGGCGCTCGGGCCGCAGGGTCTGCGGAGCTCTTCGGCGCGCGGCCCTCTGCATCAGCGTCTGGAACAGGATGAGGCAGGCGTACCCGACCTCGGCGCGGTCGGCGGGGTACAGCCAGCGCGTGCGACTGCAACCCGAGGCGCCCGGACCCTGGAGCAGAACTCGCTGCGGCCAGCTCGTCGTCATCTTCGGCCTCGGGGGACCTCTTTGTTCGGGCTCTCTGGGGAAGGGCTTCGTCCCACGCTTCGCGAAAATCGAAGCGGCAGACGCCTGGGTTGCGCCCACGACCCTTCATTTTCCGCAGGCGCTCTTGGTCTCATGTGCGTCCCCAGTGACCTCAGGGGACATTTCCGCGGGGCACCTGTTGCCGAGCCAGAGTCTTGATTGATGTGCCTGCAGTATACGATGTGGATTCGGATACGGTGATGGTTCTTCAGACTTGTTCTTGCAGGTCCTGCAAGACTTCAAACGTCTCGGTTCCACTCGGTTTTTCACGGGCTTCTCCAGCTCGGGGCCAGGCTTTTCCAGAAGGGGCCGAGAGCTCAGACGACGCGAGTTTGATCGAGTCGCCAGCCCGCGATGCTCTCGACCCTCACCCACGACCTCCTCTCAACCAATCCAGCCACGCAGTCAGTCAACGGGGGTGGTGGCAGGCAACGGAGGGCGAAGACCTTCCGATGATCTGTATGTGAAGAGACATGCCCCACCACTAAACAAAAAAAGGTGTTCGATCAGGTGGACGTGTGACGAAGACTCGTCGAACACGTGTATTCAAGCAAGCGGAACCAGTGTGTGATGGCTGCGGCCGCGCTCTGGGCATTCGCAAGAGGCAGCGCGGAGGGCCAGAAATGGCTTGTCCGGAAGGACGGCTGACTTCTAGCTCGGTGCACGGTGCGCGCCTGCCTGGCCACCCGAATGCACAGACCATGGAGCCTCCCTCAGCATGCACCGTGTGTGTGTGCTGGCAATGCCACACGCGCACGTTTACGTACACGTGTATGCCTGTGGAGTGCAGGGCGAGCCCGGGGCAGGCCCGTCACTGACCCCAACATCGACCACCCGACTCCGGCCAGGACCTCTGACAGCGCGGACCTCCCTTGGGGATGCACATGCTAGCGCAGCCATGTTCCGCCGTCGGAGCCGCCGACCATTCTGCTTTCGCCAGCCCCCTTCGACCTTCAGCATCGACTGACGCCGAGGGCGAGATGCCGACCATAGAGAGAGAGACGAGAGACGAGAGACGCCCTGGTTTCAGGGCCCTCGCGTCGCGATCTCCTCCCCATGTGGGTCCCAGGGCCAGCCCCTCCGCCCGAGGAATGCGACGGCGGCCACCGAGGGCCCCGCAAGGACCCTCGGACGCCAGCGAGCATCCAACGCATCCCGCCGGGCGTTGGCTCACGACGCGAGGGCCCTGGGCTCGCGGGTCGGGAGGACAGCGGCCCTCGGACATTCTCCTGGGGCGAAGTGCGGCCAGAGCTCCAGAGAAGAGGCAGCCCAGAAACCCATCCAGACGGAAACCCGGTCGAAAGCACGCAGTCAAAAACAGTCATGAATCGTCCCCTGTTGCTCAAAGACGGCGCGACGAGTGACGCGAAGTCGTCTAGAACTCTCTCTCTCTCTCTCTCTCTCTCTCTATATATATATATATCTCAAGATTCGCCAACGAAACTAACCAGGCCTGCGCAATTTCGCCCTGGGCGCCACGAAACAAGTGCATACTGGCAGTCGATCGTGGCCCAACAAGTCATGTGCGCACCGAGCAATTGGCGCTCAGCGTCTCTGGTAGTAGTCCGCGCAGTTGGAGGACACCTCCTCCCGGAGCGGGGCGAATTCACCCTTGCTCCACTTGTTGTGGATGCAGCCGCTGACGCCGTTGAGGTGAGATTTGACCCTCTCGAGCTGGCGGATTGCCTTCTTGGCCTCCTTGTCCTTGAACTTCTTCTGGGGCGGCGGGTTCATGTACTGCTCCGCCTGGCTCACATACGCCCCAACTTTCGGCCCGCACGTGTCGCGCGCAACCAAAAGAGCTCTCTCAAAGAGCTTCGACATACCCTTGCGAGCATCCTTCCACTTGTCCTTCGCTTTATCCTCATAGTGCTCCTCCAGATCCTCGTAGCGGTCCTGGAGGTTATCGAAGTGCTGCTCCGCGTGATGGTCTCCTCGGTCCTCCGCGTGGTCCTCGAGCTCCTCGAAGTGGTCCTCCAGGTCGTCGTAGTGCTCTGCCATCCTGTCCGCGCGGATGGCGTCCTCGATGTCGGAGATCACATCGTCCACTATCTTGTCGAGTTTCGGCTTCATCTTGCGCGTGCACCTCTGCTCGCAGTCCACCTCGTGAGTGGGCGCGGCAGCGCTTTTCGACCCCGCGTCCAGCAGGGCCTTCTGCACGCAGGCGGTGTTGCCCTTGGAGCACCACTGCACCACGAGGTGGACGGTGCCCTGGGCGGGGCGGCTGTCGCTCGAGTCGGCCTGGTTCTGCTGCAGCTGCATGGTCTGAGTGCCGGAGACTTTCCCAGAGAGGATGCTCTCAAACGGGATGTACACGGCGCCCAAGAAGTTGCTCTTCGTCAGATCCCCGTCTTTCAGATCCGCCATCGTGCCCAGAAGCACAAGCTGGAGTGTCCTCAAATCCTTCGAACCCTCCGTCCTCAGTCCCGTGAATCCTCTGAGGGGCCCGCATCCCCGAGTTCTGGGCGCTCCCGGGCGCGCAAGAGAGCGCTGATGGCTCGTTTCATGCAACTGCGTCCGGATCCAACAGAAAGCGCCAAAACGGCCCCCGAGGGCCCCACGAGACCCCTCAGACGGTCCAAGAGCGCCCCGAGTCGCTAGAAGATCGCTCCGAGACGTCCAAGGTGGCCTCGAGACTGCAGATGCTGCAATAATCCCCCCAGGCACCCCGAAAGGGCTCCAAGAGGCCCCCCAAGAGGGCCCTGAGAAACCAACATCCTGGATGTTCCGATGCTGTTTGAAAGATTTCAGCGTTCTCGCCGTTTCGGGCTTTCGAGGCTCCGAGGCGGCACGGGATGTCCCCAAGATCGCCCCAAGACAGCCCAAGCCCCAGACGGCCCAAGACGTGCCCCAAGACGGACCAAGAGACCCCGAAGACGGCCCAGGACCTACGAGAGGCCGCAAGGGGGGGGACCGCGGACCGACATGTCCAGCCCTGCGCCCCAAGACGACCTCCCAGACCGCCACCAGGGCACCCGAGAAGCCCCCCAGAATTCTCAGGACGCCCCCCAGAGGCCAGAATCAGGCCTCCAGTGACCCCGAAGAGGCCCCCGAGAAGCCGCGAGAGCGCCCCGATAGAAGCCGTGCCTGGGAGGCCTCCGAGAGGCCACCCCGAAGATCCCCACAGGCATCAAGGAGGCATCTCACCTGCAAACCGGGTGGCGACATGGGCCGAAGGCCACCGGGTCCGCTGCTGCCCCGCGTGGTCTTGCCACAAGGGTACTCCAGATTTCGTAATAAAGGGAGGGGGGTCTCACTTCGGGGGGGGTCTCTTCCAGGCTATCTTGGAGGGCCTGGGGGGTCTGGGGACGATGTTTTGGAGGGTTCTCCCACGGGGGAGGTCTGAAATGGCTTGTCTTGGAGGGTCCAGACCCCCTCCCTTTTATTACGAAATCTGGAGTACACGGCGTGCCAAACGTCTGGCAAGCTTTCGGTTCTTCTCCCAAGAGCTCTCTGGGGGGGGGTCTCGACCCAGCCCGCCGGCCACCTGGAAAGATCCAGGCGACCCACCTCGAGTTGGCTTTTTCGCTCGAGATGGCCTCAAGATGGCTTCCCAGACGGCCAACATGGCCCCAAGAGAGCCGATGGCGCCAAGATGTTTTTAAGGCGCCCCAAGATGCAACCAAGACGACCTAAGGTGACGTGAAGATGGCCCAAGACAGCCCAAGAGGCCCCTGAGACAGCCCAAGAGGCCTCCAAGAGGTCTTCCAGGAAGGCCCAGATGGCCAACATAATTGATGTTCACTCGGTTGTTGCAGGATTTCGACATTTGCTTCAAAACGGCCTTTCGACTGCATAAGAGGTTCCCAAGATGGCCCAAGATCGCCTAAGAGGCCTCCAAGATGGCCCCAGGATGGACCAAGATGCTCCCAAGACGGACTCCAAAAGGCCCCAGGACGCCTTTTCAGGCCTTCAAGACGCCCAAGATGGACTTCAAGACAACCCTGAAACGCTGAAGCGCCCCAAGAAGGCCCCAAGACGGCCCAGAGAGGCTCCCAAGACGGCCTCTGGCGGCGGCAGACAGTCCAGGAACGCCGAAAGACGGCCCAGAAGCCCCCGAAGGCCCCCAAGAAGCCCAAGGAGGCCCCCTAGAGGCCTCCAAGAGGCCCCCAGGCATCTCCTAGGAGGCCACAAAAATGACCCTAGAAACTCCCAGGAGGTCTCCTTTCCCTTCTTCTCATCCTCACTGTGCCTTCTTCTCCTCATCCTTCTCTTCCTCCTCCGCGTGTTCCTCGAGCTTCCGCAACGGCTGCGGGAACGCATGGTCCGATTGGGGAAACCTAGCGGTTCCAATACCGTTCTGACCAGACTCTTGAGGCGAACCCAGTGGTGGCGACGAGGGCCTCCCAGGAGACCCAACAAGGGGAACAACGAGCCGAGGGTAGCGGTATGGGTACCTTTTCCTCCCCTGACCTGTAGCGTGGCCAAACTCGGCCCATACGTTTGGCCACGTAGGCTTAGGTCGGCCATGTCCCCCTACAGGCCGAGCGTCCACGAAAAAGGAAACATATCCAAAAATACCTATACGACCACCCTGCGGGTGATAAGGAGGTGAGGGCGGAGGGGGAACCAACGTCTCACTCAATCGATCTCGCTATCGATCTCACATTCGGTCTCACATTCGGTCTCACATTCGGTCTCACATTCGGTCTCACTATCGGTCTCACATTCGGTCTCACTACCGATATCACAATCGATCTCGCAATCGACGTCATCATCATCATCATCAGCAGCATCATCATCATCAGCATCATGATCATCATCAACATCAACATCATCAACATCATCATCATCATCGCCATCATCAACATCATCATCATCATTACCATCATCATCATCATCATCATCACCATCATCATCATCATCATCATCATCATCATCATCATCATCAACATCATGATCGGGACACCGACGGGACACCGACGGGACACCGACGGGACACCGGCGGGACACCGGCGGGACACCGCGCGCCACCGGCCGCCCGGTGGAGAATCATTTGGTCCGGCCGCGCCTCAGCCACAGAGGACACCACCGGGACACCGGCGGGACACCGCGCGCCACCGGCCGCCCGGTGGAGAATCATTTGGTCCGGCCGCGCCTCAGCCACAGGAGACTTTCCTCTCGCCCGCCCACGCAGCTTCGCCTCGCCCGCACGCACGGCACGCACGAACACGAAACCGAAATCGATTTCCCGGTAGGGGGGCTCTCCGTTCCACTTCGATCTCACCCCCTCACCTCCGACTCAAGAATATTCACAAGATGTGAGAAAAATCGTCCCCAGTCTATTTCTGGACTATTTGTGAGGCCGGGGGCGGCATCGCCTCGCCGCAGGCGCCCTCGCTACACCTCGAGCTGGTACCGGTGCCTGCCCGCTGCGTCGGGGTGCTGCGGGCACATCATGTCGAACTGGAAGGCCTCGTTCCAGACCTGACTGCGACGAGCTCGTGTCGTGCCGACCCCAGGCGTTGGCTCCTGACAGCGCGGGGATCCTTCGGCCTCGAACGATCGGTCCTTTCCGCAACGTCCGATCCTTCAACATCGAGCGACTCTGGGTCGCCGGCGGCGTTCGGAGCGGAACGCCGGCGGCGGGGCCACCGCCGGTCGGCACGACGCGAACCCACCAGACCACCTCGACCTAACCCGAAGGCCCAAATCTCGGGTGGGTGGGTGTGTGTGTGTGTGCGGGTTCCACCTGTGTGTGTGTGTGTGTGTGTGTGTGTGTTTCAATGTTCCCCGGCGCGCCTCCGCCCCCACTGGGACTGGAAGGCCCGTTGGGTCCTTCAGGCTGGGCTGGGGTGGCTTGGCGGGTGCCGAAGACCGGATCGAGGTTGTTGTCGATCGTCCTGCTGTGGAACGTATCGGAGACCGGCAGGAACTTCTTGTGCTTGTTCCACCAGCCGCGCGTCTCGGTCCTCTTGGCATCCGTCAGGCGCACGCGGCAGAACGGATCGCTCTTGCCGAACAGCCAGTCCACGTTCTTCAGGCCCTGCGCCGAGACACAGCCCACGACGAGATGGCCCGTGACGCCGCCGCCGCAGGTGGCCCAGCTGTCCAGGTAGCCCGGGAAGGATCCGCACTCGACCTGCGTCGAGGAGTTGTCACGCGCCGCCGCCTCCGACGCGGCCAGTCCAAGCGACTCGCTGGCATGGGCACCCAGCAGGGTGTGGTCGCTGAGCCCTTGGCGGCGCGAGGAGGCAGTCGAGGACAGGCTGCTCAGGCAGAGTGCCAGCAACGAGATGGGCAAGGTGGCCATTGCCGACGGTCTGGATTTGCAGAGAACGGGCTCTTCTATACTTGAACTGAGCAGCTTGAACCAGAATGCGCACTGGGACAGGTGGGGAGACGAAGCATTAACCACAAACCTCGACGCAAAATCCTGGCTGTCACGATCAGAAGGGAGTTGCGTCCATTACCGCTGAGCTCAAGAATGTTCATTTGGCTGGTCCTGGTAACCCTGAACCCAAACATG